AAAAAAAAAAAAAAAACAATCTTTATATTCATTTAGGGAATTTTATTACATATTTCCGTTTAGCATTTAAAAAAAATAAACCCTTCTAGAATAATAATTACATCAAAAATTAGCTTAAAATATAAATTTTTTCAAAAATTTCTAATTGTTTAGATTGCATGCAGTTTTACAGGCTTGACAGCGTCAATTGACGAAATACCTGTTATGCAGTTCTGCGTTTCAAAAGAAACTAGTCAGTCAGGCTCTATCTAACTTACTTCATTTCCTGGTTGGTAAATTGCGTAACCTCTTTCTTCATCCTGGTATAGAAGTGATAAAAGAAAACCAGTTTCTAATTAATGTTTTACACAATATTTTTGCATTCGAATATTTATAGATTAAGCTTCGATTTTCAGAATAATAAAATATATAATTGATTAAATTCTTATACATATTTCGTCGTTACTAGATAACATCGTGTTTCTCAGTCTTCTTTTTTTTTAAATTGTTAACGCTTTGCTGAATCCGAACTTTCAACACCCACGTCTGCCCCCACGACGACGGTCAATGACTTCAATAATATTTTGGTTCAGGCTTTTTATTATCACGAAATTCAGAATAATTATAAAATAAATCGCTAAATAATGTTTATTTGTAAAGAGAAGCTCAATGCAAAAAAAAAAACAAAGAAGAAAAAACACCGGAAACACGCGGTACTAACACACGTACTGTACTTTTTATTAGATATAATAAACTTGAATATTAGATTTTATTTGATAAATAATCGACTTTTATAAATATTTAATTACTGCTTAATAATTATTTACTATAAATAAAAATGATTCTTATAGATTTTTCTCCGTATTTAAATAGTCGTATAGAATAGTAAAAGGTGTATTGTGCAATTGATCACCGCCATATTCTAAATTACCTCTAAACATCTTTGGTAATAGTAAAAATAAATTCTTGTAAGCATTAGTCAGCATTAGCAAGCATTTCAAACGAACTGTAATGTAGACTATAAAAGTATTAGGTAAATTCCATATAAATGCATTATATTTATATTCAGCAAAATTCTGTATAATTAAAGGGAAATTTTTAGTTTTAATATATTAATAAAAATTAGACTGAGTTAAGCTAGTAGACAATATCGAGAGTCAACTTAATTTTATGATTCATTAAAATAGCTATAAAATAAAAACGGGATTTTACAAAACGGATCCATATTAGTTTCAATTAGAATGCTTTAATAGTTACATTTAAAAACAAATATATTATAATAAAAATTAATTATTAATAATTTTTTAATTGATATTAATAATAAAAATTATTTAAATTTTCGAAATTTTATCAATAAAATTTACAAATAGTGCATAACGGTCTCCGAACGAGATTATCGTGTTGAGATCGTCGAAAAGCTTTTTTTTTTTTGAGTCGTTTGGCTAATCTATGTAATCCTCGTTTTAAATAATTTTAAAATAAAAGCTGATTTAAGAATCGTTTAGATAAGTTTGTTTAGCGATTAAAATGAGTATTTTATTGACAAATTTAGGTTACGGTCCTTTTGGAGACGGGTCAATAAATAAAGGTAAGCCTAATTGATAGAACAAAAATTATATAATGGCAATTTATTATATTTGATGATGTTTAGATGACGTTTAAATTAAATTAATTTAAACGTCATCAGTGATTTCCAGTCTTAATAAAATTCAAATAAAAACACAAACATTTTATTAACTATTTATTTTTTAAATTGTGTAAAAAGTGCAAAACAACAAATATTAAACTACATTTTCTGTGAAAAATACATATTTCTTACCTCATTTTGAAGTTTTGATATAATTTTTATATATATATATTTAATCTAATATGAAAACCCATTAGATCCATTACTAAAGTTCAGGAATACAACAATTAATATATAAAGAATATTTCAGTTCCAGTTATTACATAAAAAAATCTCACTTTGAGTTTTCTCTTTTGTTCCTGTATTGGCTTGTCTTCTTCAATACTCCATTATCAATCATACTGTAAATGGTATCAATTAGAGATTTTTTAATATCAATAAGTTGTACACCCAAAACTTCTTTTGTTCTTTTGTTATCATACATGTATTTCTTTCCAATTCTCTTCAAAATTAAGCTAGTAGACTTGTCAATACAGCTAAAAAACCATAAAGTTATGTAAGGTGCATTCCATGCAGATATATGGTAATTATACTGTGCAAACTCTTCAGTAAGTATGTTTGCCATATCTCTCATCCATAAGTGATCGGATGCAACTATGTGACGATTACCAGCCGCTTCAGGCACTATCATAGCCTTAAGATGCGCTTCTGCAACGTCGCGTACGTCACATAAACTGAAATTGAGTCGTGGTAACATAGGCATGCTACCATCCAACAATCTCTTAATAACTTCAGTGCTGGTGCTTACAGTACCACTTATAATTGGTCCTATAACGAGAGCAGGATTTACAGTAGCTAATTCGAATCTCTTCGAAGCTGGTAAATCTTTAACAAAATCCCATGCTGCTTTTTCTGCTAAGGTCTTGCTCTTTGCATATGCATCCAAATAAGGTGAATTAACGTCACTCCAGTCAGATTCGTTGTAAACTTTTCCATTTTCGACTGTAGTTTCTCCGTGTACAGATGCTATGGAACTGGTAAGAACTACTCTTTTAACTGATTCAGAATGAGAACAGGCTCTTAGTACACGTTTGGTACCTTCCACAGCTGGCTTGATTAAGTCTTCTTCACTTTCGGGTGGTACATTAGGAAAAGGCGATGCGACATGTAGTACATATGTACAGTCTTTAACAGCATTTCTCCATCCATCGTCTTTTGTCAAATCTGCTTCTACTAGTTCTATTTGATACTTTGCATTTGGGCACAGTTCTCGTAGTGGCTTTACTTTAGCTTCATTCTTCAAACTACGCACGGTTCCTCGAACTTTGTAACCTTCCTTTTGTAGTAATTGAATGATATGTAAAGATATAAATCCAGATGCACCAGTCACAAGTACTAAAGGTGTTTCTTTGTCGTTTGACATGTCGTTCGTTCGATAGCAGACTCCAGTGAGCTGCGTGTATCACTGTGTCATGGTTTATATCTGGAGTGTAGATAGTACAAGGTCATAGAACTATAGAAATGCATATTTTCTGTGGCGCCATCTCTTAACGATTTTAGAAAACTTAAATGTGCAGAATATAATTCAATGAATTTGTTATAAAATAATATATAGAATCAGTTTCATTTTAAAACAATATATTGATTATTGATATTAAATAGATTGTAATACTATTTGAAAATTTATCTTGGGACTAGCTTACATATAGTAAAAAAATAATAGGTAAATAATATTTGTTAGAAAGATATAATTGTCAGTATACATGCACTAAGCATTATTTTATAAGAAAACATTTGGATAAGTGTTTATAAATATTTAAAAATTAACAAAATATTTTTTATTAAGATGAAAATTTAAATTTTATGTTACTCATATTTGAAAATTAGTCTCATAATGATAAAAAATCAAGGTTCTGTCCTATTGAAATGACCTAAAAGTTTTGAAACCAATTCCATAAATATACTTTATTTCAAGATGGGTCAAGGTATTTCTTATTATTTGAAATTTCCTAATTATGGTAGAAATGTATAAAATTTCAAGTAAAGGCAAGTATCTTCTATAGAAACAAATATTAATTCATTCATTTCAATAAATACACGGTAACTGTTTTTTCCAGCATTTAAAAAAATATTTAAGCTGTTATCGTTTTATAAGTTTATTCTTGTCATGAAATCATTACTTATAATTAAATTTATCCAATGTTAATCAAATATAAATTAAAGCTATATATGATATACTGTAGTTACTATAACCAATATCAGTCAGGTCAAGTATAAATAAGGAAGTTATAACTTATATCTTTTTTGGAATATAACAATAGAGGTTATAGTACCTTTTGAATTGTTTCGCACATTCATCCAGACTAGGTGGTTGACCCTATTCCGAAGACCCACTTTTTACATTTTTATCTTTTAATGGTTTCTAACAGTTTCGTCGTATAACTTTTGTTATTTGATGCTTTCATGCCAATTTTCCCTAGTAATTTATTCTTCTAGATTTTTAAACTTTTCTAAAATATTTTCCAATTTTTATTTTTTCTTTCCCTTTTCTTTCAAAAGATTTTTTCGTTTAGTTTTATTTAGGCTATACAGTATTGATTATTAGATTAAATATACATTTAACCATGTTAATGTGTTATGCATAAATTATTGATTTTATATGCAATATTTATTGCCAATTTATGCATATTAAATACAGTAATAGTATTTACGCATTTGTATAATGCAAAATTTGTTTACGAATCTTCAAATAACGATAATGTAAAAGGCACATCATTTACATTAATTAATGTATTTTACGTCATTTACATTATTAATGGTTTTTTTTAACATAAAATACATTAAATTATTATATAAATTGAAAATAAATTCTTTATTATTATTATTTTGCATATGTATGACTTAGAAAAACAGTTAGAATATTTAAATGCTTATATTTTTGTAAATATGATGTCATAGAACATAAGGCCAGGAACACACATGCGTAAAATTCGGCGTAAAAGCTAGCATAAAACAGAAAGCGTAAAAAATTTTCTGAAGTTTTAACTGAAACATAACTGAAAAAAGAGTAGAGCATATGTCTTATTTTTACGCGCGCAAAATTTTTATGCCAAAATTCCTCCAATAAAGAGAAGTCTTTTTGTGACGTGAAAGTAAACAGATGATTTTTATTCTAATAATGGCGGCAATGTACGTAGGTTGGCCCTACAATTGTGACGGTCTCCAAGAAACGAAAAATAAATGAAATAGATTGGATCCTTTCGACCATATCAGTGTCTTTATGACAAAAAAACTGACATGTATAAAGACACTGTTTTTAAACAAAGTTTATGGACGGCCATAGATGCTAAATTTCAAATAAAGATAGGTTTTGTAGAATCGATATATAGTATTTAGATCACACGTTATTTCAATTCGGAATACAAGTCTATTAATTTAAATTTTCTAAATTATAGCAAAGACAGCGGAGAAAAAGTGGAAGGTACAAAAGGATAGATATATAGAGGGGAAAAATAATAAATTGTAGAACTGTTAATGGCAGTGGCGTTTCCTATTCGGCCAGAATTCTTAAGTGTGTGTGTGTGTGTGTGTGTGTGTGTGTTCTGGCATAAAAGCGTAAAACAGAAATTGAACCGAAAGCTGATTTCTGATTCAGTTTTCTGCCACACAATTTTGCGCATGTGTGTTCTTAGCCTTATTCTAGCTGATTTTTTTTTCGGAGATGTTTACCACTAGTGTTTATATAAATGAAATTTTATAATAATTTTAATATATTGTAAAAAATGTGAAAAAAAAGGCTTTTATTGATCATATTTATCGAGATTATTGGCGGGTGTAGCCCCACCATATACTCGTACATCACAACAGTGCATTTACACACACACATCATGATTAAATTCTACATTTGGTTATTTTATCGGATTTCGGGGTAAGGAGAATGGTGAGGATGGGACTTTTCTTCAAACATTATTAAAATGCATTGTCATTGGCTAGATTCTCAAAGTTTCAGCCGTCTATCTTAATAAGTAGATGAAATTTGATTTGCAAGATTTGAGGACATGATACAAAACAAGTTAAATGAAAAAATTTTAATAACATAAATTAAAAACACTTTTTGAATAATTTTTAAAATGATTGATTGTTTTCAATCCAGTCATATAGAAAAATATTTGACGGGATTATCCTGAAATATGTAAGAGCACTTCTGTAAATGTGTAATATTTTCAATGTAGCAAGTAATTTCTGTCAACAACGCCTTTTTTTGTCATTGAATAGTGTCTCGTTAAATTTTTTCTCTATAATCTTTCGATTGTGATATGTAAATTCCATGCATTCATATATAATTCTAAATTCAAGCTGCATAGCAATAATATTGCCAGTTTGTTTAATTCGAAAGTAAATAAGGATTTATTTACAAATAAATCAATCAATATACTGTAATTTAGTTTTTTCTTCCTCTAAAGGAAGAAAAGTTAAATTCTTAGACGTATTATAATTTGATATTATGGACACCGCGCAACTTCGTCGTATCGCGATAGAATTAAGATAAAGCATTTCGTTTTTGTAAGTACAGTAAAACTTTTTAAATTAGTACAAGCAATTATTTTATTATGACATCGGACTGCAATTTTCAGTCATATTTTTAATTTATTTAATTTAAAAGATATGCTTTCCACCTTCAAATTAGCAGTGAATTGCCCCTGTACTGTACATCATAGTTTTCCTTTAGCAATCGAATCTGCCGGTCATCTAACTCCTTTCGGGGAAAACGTTTGAAGTGAAATAACATGACGTCTACTCTGTATCGGAAGTTTGCATACACTTAATCGGGACTTCCTGCCCATCAGGTTTTTATATCTGGTCTCGTCTTTCATTTATCTAGCTTTGTTCTCGAGATTAAGGAAAGACAGACGGACGGACGACAGTGGGAATTTATAGGTCTACAATTTTTTAAATTGCAACCCAATTAGTACACATAAACCATCTTTCGCTCTGTCTAACCCGAGCGTTGACACGTGTTTGAATGTATATATGAGAGTGTGCGTGTGTAGTACGTGGTATATGGATGCAGTGCCGTAACTAGGCAGGCGCACCCGCACAGGGCCCACTTGGAAGAGGGGCCCAAAATGCATGTATTTGTTTTATTACTTTCCCAAACCTAATTAATTAAGGGGCCTAAATGCAAAATTCCTGCACAGGGCACAGGAATGGCTAGTTACGGCACTGTATGGATGTGTATGTGAGAGTGAGAAAGAGCACACGATTTGGTTCACTCTCTTTGAAGCTTAATAAATCCTGCACTCTTTCGAAAATTTCTGAAATTTTGTAGGCAGGTTTGTTTATTAGGGAGATTTTTGCTATTAAATTTTGATGATTAAAGGTCGAGAGGATGGGGGTCATGTGTATCTCCAGTAGGGTCGGATTTAATGACGATTTTACTCGTTATTAGCGTTTACAATTATATTATAAAACTCATCCCTATCCCAAAAATTAAGCTTTTTGCCATTTTATAATACTGTAGTTAAAAATGTAAAAAGTTTTTAAAATAAAATATGATAACAGATGGCGCCACCAAAATTTTAAAATGTTACCGGAAATGTTGAGCAGCTCGTTGCTGGTTTTTAAAGAAGGTTATCATTAAAAACACTTTGACAATACTGTTTTCTATTAATAATTTTTCGCATTTCCAATATTCCGTGTTTAGATATGAAAGTTCGTAACCCTAATCTGGATTAGGAAAACAAAAAATTAAAGGTACGAAGGCTCTTCAGACATCGTGATATACTCATATTTTTATGCTATTTGTTCAATCACATATTTATTTTCAAATCTTAGAGATTATTGATTGTTACCAATAAATTATTATTTAATTTTATTCCTTCGTTGCTAAATGATAAGAAAGACTTAAGGTTCGATGTACTGTACTTTCTTTTTTATGGCATAGTTGGCAGAAAATTATTTTTCTATCCGCAGTAAAAGTTGTGTACATGTGTACACGAAAAACGAGAAGGAATCTTTCGGCACTATATTCGAATCAGCAGGGCACCGAACAAAACTGAACTGTGAAATTGGCAGGAACTGTGAAATACAGGAAATTGGGCAGCTGCTATATTTCATTAAAATACATGCAAAATTTATTAAATACAGTCGACCCCCCTATAACACTGTTGATTTTTTCGTTTTATATGAATTCCATGTTGTACGAGTCACTTAGATTTTACAAATACGTGAGCCGTTCACAGCTTGGCACACGTATTTGTAAAATCTAAGTGACTCGTACAACATGGAATTCATATAAAACGAAAAAATCAACAGTGTTATAGGGGGTCGACTGTACAAAAAAGTTTGAATAAACCCAGATTTTAAAAATTCTACGACTATTGGGCAGATCTGAATTTCCCGCACAATAGTCGTCGAATTGTTAAAATTTCAAATATAGAGGAATACTTGAGTTCAAACTCCAGTCAGC